ACGCCCACCTGTCATCCCTCTTATACCCTCCCGCACCTGTTCCTCCCCCCATCCCACATTGGCCAGAACAGCGCGGCATTTCGCAGAAAAACAGCGGTAACCTATACATGCACAGCTTTCAACAACAGTGCAAACCCATTTGCACACAACAGAACACACGAACATCAGCGGCCGGTCAGGGTCGCCACAAAATTATTTGAAAGTACTGTAATGTTCAGTATAAAGGACAGCTGGACGAACATATCTTCTACAATAGTCCGACAAACATCCACTACTATTTACACAGCAACACTAATCAGATAAGTTATATGCCACACAGCACCAGGATCAGCTGTTTACATACTGTTACAACAGTAATGGTGACCAGAATATGTTCATGTTGGTTTTTTGTTTATTTGGTTTGCTTTCTTGTTTGTCAATAACACTATCCTAGTCATTGGGATCCACTTTTCTGAAATAGGGCACAGAAGCAAACACATCTGAACGTCAGGTGAACAGTAATCCTGCCTCAGTGCTGGGACCAGCGTAAAATGGCCTTGTACATTTGTCTTAAGTCCATAGCATAATGACAAATGCAGACCAAAACCTGTGATCATGTTGAAAAAGTTGAAAGCTACACACTGTCATTCCAGTTTGTTGAAAAAAAGATTCTGCAGACTTTCTAAAATATATGATTAAACCCTATTACTGATTAGCCTTGTTACCAGTAAAGATGTATATATTTACAATGGTTGATTCAGTGGTTCTGTTGTCTGTACAGGTGAAACAGTGGATGAAGTAAAAGAGAGTGGATATAAATACAACACTATCTTACCAGGGTACCATCCATTCATTATCTACACTACTCGTGCTCTTGAGGGTTGCAGCACAACTGATTCTAGTGGTCAAAGGTCAAGGTGGCTGTGACCTCATATCCATCCCATTCTGCAGTAATCCTTTTATTTATTTAGTTAGTTAATTATTGATATTTGATGCAGAGAATAACTAGCGAAGTGCTAATAAAACAAGCTCATGGCGAATGCGTACAGCGATAGAATCCAAGTGTAACCAGCGAGAATTTAGCTTAACGCTGTCAGTTTTGATCAAATACATAGCATCACAGGGTTGCTTTTCATTTGATGTGCACCCATTGAGATCAGTGCTGCATATGACCGGCTGCGTGGATTAGATCTATCAGCTGGTCCACGGGGGCTCCCTTGAAACAAGAGGCCACTAGCCTCAGTGGGATTGTCACAGTGATTTACTGTGAAGACTGTGTGAAATTGTAAATTGTTCTGGGTAGAAAGCGGTCAAGTACAACACCAAAGTATTTAAATCTAAAGCCAGTTAAGTGCTACATCTAGTTCAGCAATTTCTCATGAACCAGGCTACTTTTCTGTGCAATTATGTATGTGCAAATGTGCATGTGAAAATTTGAAATGTAAACAGTACATAAAGTAAGTCCTGATTGTGTACTCCTGTCAGCTGTTTAGGAGTCTGATGGCAGTTGGAAAGAAAGAGTTTTTCAGTCTATAAGTTGTGTTTTTTTAAGGAGGTTATGTTTTTGGTTGTGTTTGTGTCTGTGTGTCTGTGTGTACATGCTTCTTCATATGAGTGGGGTTAAGGTTCCCAGAGACTTGAGACAAGAGAAGCCAGAATGCAGCTCTACTGGGCACTACTGGTTTTAAAATATTGGTTAGTAAATAATGACAGGGCAGGGGAATACAGCAGAGGACAGAGAGACTGATATGCAGCAAAGGTCATTTTGGCAGCTACAGCTGGTTTACTGATAGCATTGTTCCATATTCCATTTGTCATGGTATTCACCATGAAAATGCAGAGCTTCATTGTTGTGTCTCTCCTCAAGATGGACATGATGAATATAATCATCACCTGCTGCTTTTGCATGGCAGTGGCATGAGCTATGTGCTAGGTTTGCATTTACAGTACAACACCACTGGATAAGGAGTCACCTAGTCAGGGTTAATGCACGTCTGTTTGCTCTAGGACTAACAAATGAACATTGTCTGAGGACAACATTGCCATACACAATAAATGCTGATTTAATGACAAAGACAATAGGCCTGCAGATATATACTGCAATTATGATTGTTGTCAATTAATCTAACCATTTTTTTTTTACATAAAACAATTTTGACTCTTAAAAAACTGTCAATTGGAAAGTCCTTGAGCCAAAAGTAACAGCCTGTTAACTAACTAATAACCCAAAACTCACCAATACTGGAACTTTGTTTACAGCACTGTCCAAGGCACTCTTTAGCATAGCAGGTTCAAACCCATGACATTTAAAGCAGAGGTCAATTTCTGTCTGTTCTCTAAGCATTCAGGCATGGCTGCCCACTGAATGGAAGATGATCTTCACTGTGAGATGTTTGCGCTGGGTGTGTTGGCATGAGCAGAATGTGACCAATATAATCTGTAGCTCTCTTCTCTTCACAATGTCAGCATCAGTAGAACTTTACATCTAACAGATTTGCATCAGTGCTTTACCGCATATCAGTCTTACGTATATCTGTGACCTAATGCTGCCCACGTTTGTTTGGTGTTAGAACAGACATCAGACATGTTGCCTCTTAAGTTGAGTCTGGTCCAGTATGAACACAAAAGAGTGACAGTTTATTGTGCCGAACTGAAGTTTATTAGTTGAAAGGTTATTAAATGCTGTCCATTCTGTGCGACTTTTGGTTGGCTTGTGAAGCTAAACAAGTAAAATTCTCCACTGGGGCTTAAACATTTTAAATATTGAACACATGATTCTGTATTGGTGTCCAGCTTGTTGGACAGTGTTAACAGAAGTGACAAAAAGAGATGCCTTAGCATCAAGCCAAGTAGGGCGAAACACTCAACGAGTGAGTCAGAGTGTGGGAAGTCATGAGTGGCAACAAGAATGTCAGCATATTTTGCTGAGGAGGAGGTTAGGCTCTCTAGGGGGAAATATAGTGAACAGAGCAGGGGTCTTTCTCCTCTCACTCTCACTCTCAGCTGGACAAGGCTAAGGATTCATCCTATCGCTTTATTAACTTTTTAAGAAGTTAAAAAGGTTTCTGGAAAGTGGGGGAAACAAATTGGCACCTAAACAATCCTAGATCTATGATGTCAAGTGTGTGACTATATGTTTTTGCACATGCGTTCCTGCATAGCCAAGGATTCTCCAACACAGAATATGCACAAGTTGCCTGAGAGCTATTTTGCTGTGAGAGTATGTTAGCATCTGCTTACATGTATGTATTTGCCTTTGTGTGTTTCTGTGGATTTGCACTGTGTGTGTGTGTCGTTTGTCCATTCTCATTACCACACGTTTTTAACAGCCCCTGACATCTGGTGGCCATACCTCTGCTCGAGCTCTGACTGTACATCACAAGCCATGGGAACTGCTGCTGTGTAGACTGCTGTGGTGTATGTGTGTGTGTGTGTGTGTGTGTGTGTGTGTGTGTGTGTGTGTGTGAGAGAGAGGCACAGAGAAAGATAATGAGATAGCGATGAGCTCACGTTTAGTGCAGATATTTCACAGCCAGAGTGCAGCTTATATACCACCGTATGCACCAGAGCGTTGTGTCTGTTTTTTGCTACCAGCAGACACTGTAGTTAATGAATGACCCATGCTGAACTAAATCTGGTGAGAATGATTTGTTCTGAGAGAAAGTGGAAGGACAAGTGTTGAGAAAATGTTGAGGGGCTCCTGATTATAATTCAGATGTGTCAGGATTCTTTGAATTACCAGAAATAAAACAAGTCCTCCAATCTAAAACAAATAATTTAGATTTAATTTTTTGCATGGTCAATTTTCACATTTTTTCTGATACTCTGACAAATATTCTACTGTTCTGTTTTTATTCTGTGCTATTCCATTCTGCTTCATTCCGTTTTGTTTTACTACTCTATTTTATTTTATTGTCACTCTTCACGGAGTTTTACTGTCTTTAAGAGGTGGTCTAAAGTTTATTCATATTGTTTGGTTTTCCCTGCTGGTTATATTTAGGCAACAGGAAATGTCCCAGAACCTCTCACTCTGCTCTCACAGAGAGAGAAAGACAGATAAAGCCACATACACATCTACAGTATGTCATGTCCTTCACTCCCAGGCTGGCTTGCACATGGATCTGATTTGTTTATATTCCCATGCATTTTCATCAAAGTAAATTTAAAGACAATGACTCCACAATGCCCCAGTCTTTTTAACATTTTTTTTTCCAGTTACAAACCTCTCACTCAGTGTCTACCCACCACAGCTTCCAAACATCAGCCTTATTCATTTCCACATGAAGTTAAGAATTGTTCTTCCCTCTTCAAGTTCACCCTCAGGGCCATTTAAAAATTTCAAGGCTTAATCTGTCCTGTTTTAAGATAGCCTGTTACCCCAAACCCCTCTCAACTTTTGATAAGCCCTGACCTCCAACCCCTCTAATACTTCACTGCCTTCCTGTATGAGCCTGGAGGTCATTTTTCTCCTTGTGTCTCCTGAATAAGAAGTTGAGTTGCACATGATTTGCTGCTACACTAATGAAAGGAATTCTGAAGTTTTTATTTTTGGTTTTTAACATACAGTACATCTGTATGTTACATATATCATAGATGTAAATACACATATCTGTATACATACAGTATACATTATTTTAGTTTATTTTGAGTTTTAGCGAGCTTGTATCTGGTTACTGCACATGTCATCCAACCAGAAGACTAAGCAGGACTGTATGACTTGAAATTGAGCTGGTCAGTATAGTGCTGTACAAATAACCATTAGGTCTCTGCTCACCTTTAAAATGAACGCCTGTTTGACAAATGATAAAGATGAACATTAACATTAAAATGTTTTGTCAATACATCATGCATTAGTGCATCTTTGCGCGTTGACCAGCCATATTTTTTCCTCTCTGCTCTCCAGTTAAAAATAACCTCATGAAATTACTGACCAATTCACGGCAATGAAACTTTATATTTTGAATAACCTGTTCTGAGTTTATAATTATTTTTTCATACCTTGTGTTTTCACTGTCTCACAGGAGAAACGAAAATGGCAAACTGAGATTGAAGACAAAAAAAGCCAACTTGATGACCTGGTACTACAACTACAACATATCAAGGTGGGTTTGTGTGTGTGTTTGTGTGAGTACATGGTTTTCCTAACACTGTAGGAACTGGAACCTGTTCACACACCTGCACTGTAGGGACTTGACCTTCCTTTGTGAGAGATAAGTGATGGAGCATTGTTTACACTGTTTATTTTGTTATACTATACAGCCTTATATTGGTATATTGTTTACTTGCCCTTTGGCTATTGCCTTACATAAGGATATGTACATACACATTGAGAGCCACTGTACCAGAGTCAAATTCCTCGTGTCCAGCACACCTGGCCAATAAAGCTGATTCTGATTCTGATTATACCTGAGGCAATAGTTCATTTAAGGTCATATACTGAGTTAAGAGTGAAAGATGAAGGAAAGGTGAGTTCAGGTTTGAGATAAAAATTAATGAATGAATAGAGTCAGCGATGATTCTCACAATGTGTATGGCATCCATTTTTTTTATCTACTCAATTCCTCTTTATTTTTCCTAAGCATAGTCCTTACTTTCCCGTGACCCCGTTCAGGAACTAAGCGGTAGAAAATGAATGAATGAATGAATGAGTCCTTACTTTGACACCCAGTGTCACAGACAACTCAAGTAAATCACAGGTCTTTGTTTACAGTTTTGTTCTGTTCCTGCATGCTGCTTTTACACAAACACTGTGTGTGTTTAATAACCTGTGTGCACAGATGAATATGTTAGTCAGTTTCTGGCTGTTGGGTGGTAATTCATTCTGTCTAAACATCCAAATCTCAGTGCTCCTGGTGTGCAGGCATGTTAGTTTCCCTTGGCTGAGCAGGACAAGCCTATAGCTGTTTTCTTCTTTCCACAAAAACAGTCAAATTCAAACACACATAAACATATCCCCTAATAATTATTGCCAGCCACTGCTGGTATGCCAATATTTTATTTTAAATAAACATAGATTCAATATTCAAATAAGTGCTGTGGAAAACGGGACACAAACTGAACAGGTTTTACGCTTCACTAACTTACAGTATATGGAACAGAAAAATTAAAATTGAAAAATCTCATGACTTCACACACAAGCTCAAAAAACATAACTACCACTGTCAGGTGGAGACACACCAGACATAAGCATGTCTTACATTTTTACCAGTGATTTACCATGTGACATCCCTTTTTCCTATTCTTTTTATAACGTTTGCATGATTAAATCTAATTTTAAAAAAATCTGGTAAAAAGGAGTTGAATTTTGAAAAAACAAAATCTATTTCTGCACACTGCACTGCTGATGTATGATTGCTTCACTTCTAAAAAGCATTGCTTGCAAAATCCTGCAGCTCTAACTGCTTTAGAGATGCATGGTGGGCAGGGAAATACCTGTGGGTACCAATTATACTAGAAACATACTGTATATGGTAGTCAGTTTTAATACTCTAACTGGACCCTATAAATGCACTTGGCATGAATTAATCTTTTAATAAATAAAGTAAAATCCTGCATGCCAATGTT